AAATTCATCCAAGGACCAGTCAGTAGCTTTCCAATTAAAGCTAGGGCACACAATTCATGGATACCTGAAATAAAAAAGTCAGGGAATAATAAACTATAATATTGGCCTCTGATAGTCTACAATCCCCTATCTATTCCTGCAAGTGTCATAACTATTGGTTTTAAAAACATTATACTTAAGCTTAGTTATTGCAAGAATCCCTATCAATAGGAGAACTGAACGTGTACAAGAATGATTATATATAAGATTATATATATACATATATAAGAGTCACCTGTTTCAGATGTAAAGTCTTGCAATAAATTATTTCTCAAACCTCCACATAACGCCAAGCCAGAAAACAGAAGCGTCGTAAATATTGCATAGTGATGAATCAAAATACCACATGTGTGAAAAAGAATGTGTAGTCTGTTCCCTCTGGTAACAGTCTTCTTGACAGCTTGTGTTGGTCCAAAAAGGCTACAAAACCTTTTGGGTCACCTTTAAATAATATTAGGTATATTGTTTTAAAGACGGCAAAAAGCATGTGAAATAAAAAACATTTTTATGCTACATGTAAAATCTGTTTTAGACTTAAAACTAATAGTTCAAAGAAATTTAACTAAAGTAAAAGAGTAAGAGTTTATTTAGCTGTACAAAATTAAAGAAATACAATTTAACTAAAAGTAAAAGAGTAAGCTCATACATACTTTTGCATCTTTGTAGCGAAGTTTATTTAGCTGTAAAACAATATTTGCTGCAATGCAGTCTTTTCCAAACAGTCTCTAATGCTTTAAGTGAAGACTTGAAAGCACTAATCATGGCATCCAAGGAGTGAAGATGACAGTTTAGTTCATTTAAAGATTTCTTCCAAATAAGGTTTAACTTTGCTACATCTATGCATACTGATTGGGTTGTCAAGTGCACAACATTAACATGAATACCCTCCTGAGTTGTCGCATCAAATCCAATTGTCAGATTTTTTCTCGGCAGTCTGTAAGTCTGATAACACACCTAGCTCATGCATTATTTGCTCCACAGTAGTGCGATGCGGTTTGCGATTAAATTGATAGCCAGTGTGTTCACCAATTTTTGGAGAAGGTATGGCACACTATGTGTAGGTACTTGGTACACAAGCATGTCATAGATAAGCAACCTAATATCTGCTGAGTAGATTTGTTCATTTTTGGTGGTTGTTTTTACGTGATGCATTTGCTCCACCTACTCCTGTAAAACCAGTATTTCATTTTGCAGTGCAAGAATTACAGCATTTTTGTCAGCAAGTTGTTGGCATAACATGGCTTTTTGATAAGAGAACTTGTTTTCCGTGAATGTTAGATGTTGATTCAAACAAAAAATTTTGTTTTAAAGTTTCTTTAACTGTAAATTTAAATATTTTTCATTTAGTTTTTTCCAAATCTGATGTCTAGTTTTTTCCTTGCAAGTAATAACCTGATTTAAATATTTAATTCTGCATGACCTTGTATTTGCCTTATCTCTTAACTCTTTTTTTAATCCTCTCTGTGCTTTCTTTTCATAGAAGCTGTTTCATTTGTCAAACTGGTTAATCTCTTTCTCATAATTTTTTTTCTAGGGCTCAACTGATCAACTCTCAATCTGGATAGTAGCGGTTTCTGAGAAGTGGTCATTAAAGCAGGACCAGATAAAGAAGATGATTGGTGATCACTATTTACTACAGATAAAACAGTGTTGTGTTGAGAAGATGATGATGAAAAACCTGAAACAGTGTTAATTGAGCTTGCCGTTGACTGCAAGGATTGTGTTGTAGAAAAGATTTAAATTTCTCAAAAAATTGCGTGCATATAACTTGGATGTATTAACTAGATGCACAATCTAATTTTGACAAATTTTAAGGTTAAAAAGCTTATTGACCAGTTATTCATTTTTTTTAAACGATTCGCTGTTGGTTGTAAATATATACAGTACATGTCCATTCTTACATTCAATGTTTAATTGAGCAGGCAATGCAAAGTTACAAGTTAAATAACTTTTGGCTTCACTATAAAATAAACATCTACTCTTTTTAGGGCCCATGATTCACTAAATAAAATAACTGTAATCATTCACTTAGGTCAGCTACTAATCACAACCACTATGTTAAAAAAAAAGGCTTGAATATACATGAGAAAAAAAAACTACTTAAAATATTTAATAAAATACATTAAAAGTATGTTATTAATAATTTCTACTTGATAAGTTCATAAAGTAACTTATCTGGTAATAGGTTCATTAAATACCATGTACCGATTAAGTGGACATTTTGATATTTTTTAAATGTATGTACATTAAAAATATATCATTAATAATCTCCACTTAATTGGTTTATAAACCTTTTCTACTAGTATTTTAGGTATAAATATATTTATTATCATTAAATGACTTATACCAATTCATAAAGTATCATAAGGTAGCTTTATAAATTAGATAGAAATTGGTATTAATACTAGTAAAACAAAATTATATTTTTTAACAAATTATTATTGTACAACACTTTTAAAGAAATTGATATGAAAACTCAACACATTTTTAAAATGAAAAGTCAATAATACTAAATGCTCATAACCGTGACACACACACCCCCCGAGCCACCATAAAAAACGTAATATTGAGTACCTCCAGGGAGTTAAAAAATAGAGTATTAGAGTGCAATTATTTTTACTTGACAGGTAAAAATAATTGCACTCTATTTACTAGGTACTATTTGGCAGGTGCGTAGAAAATAGATTTAGAAAATTAAATGAACATATTACAAAAATAAATCAACATGCCTTCAATATCAATACACTTCCACAACAGGAACAAAGTTTTTAATTCCAATAAAATTATTAAAAATGTTAGTAACTGCAAAAAAAAATAATCATAAAACAAACTTTAAACTTTCTACTTTTGAAATAAAGTCTAAGTTGATATAAGGTTCTAAAAAATAAGGTAACAAAACTCATCCTTAAGACACCTACGCCAAGCATGCTGTGAAAAAGTAGGTCACAGATTTTTACTTTAAAATCGGTGCTGTAAAAGTCAGATACACACGTACCTACAATAAAAAAACTCATTTTTTTATGTTAACTTACGTCATTTTATTGAAATTAGAGTGCAAATTTCTATGAACAGTAAATGGTGATTTGTGAATGAGACTTCTTTATATAAAATGTTTACAGGAAACATTTAACGAAATTAAATAAAATTTTATTTATTTATATAAGTTTATTATTAATATAAAATTTTATTAATAAAAAAATTATTTCTGAAAAGGTTGTGCTTTGAACGGGGAATAGTTTGCTTATCGTTAAAAACAAAATAATCACCACCAGGCTTGGTCGAGAAGCGGGAGCGATCGCTCTCGAATACTGAACACGGAAATAATAATTAGTTGTGAAAAACTGGCCAGGTTTTTTATAATAATATATAATATATATATATATATATATATATATATATATATATATATATATATATATATATATATATATATATATATATATATATATATATATGGTCTTCGCAAATGTCCAAGTTAAGAGCAGCTCTAGTTATATTTGAACTTTATATTCCAACTTATCTAGATTTATTATGTATATCGAGATTATATAATGATATATTGTTTTTTTTTTACCATCCAGACAAGGTTTGCTATGATATGCAATATTTCTTTGATATAGATGCAGATGATTCTCATTTGCCGAGTTCACTTAGTATTATGTATTTTGTTACAGTTCTACTTGTTAGCTTTCTTTTAGCTTTTCTTTTTCTTTTACCTTTGACATTTTTAGTGAATGAAATTTAATCGAAGAATAACTGAGTCAAAGATATCAGTGAAAATGTTTAGTATCTTGAATTATATTTGACGTAAAGGTATTTAATTTTCGAACATTCTAAGTTTTGAATTTTAATTAATGTTTTTGAATTTTTAATAAATTAGTCACTAATAAATAGAATTTAATCAAAGCATAAATGAATCGAAGATATCAGTGAAAATGTTAAAATGTATATATTTATATTTGAAGCAAAGGTATTTTATCTTTGAACGTTCAAAGTTTGGAATTTTTATGAAGAATTGAAGATTTTTTTATTATACGCACTTGTATGCAATTCAAAATAAAAGTCAAAACTCAAACTGTTTTTTGGAGTCCCTTTTTTGCCAAAGGGACCCCAAAAAATAGTTCAAGTTAGCGAATGGTCCGATTTAACCTGGGTATGACTAAAGTGAATGATTTTATAGTAAGTTGATAAAGAAATTCAAGGGGAATCGAAAACTCGTAAGACTTTAAAATCCTACTTTTCTAGGGTACAAGTTAATGGGATCCTACTGTAGTAAGTTTAATATATATATATATATATATATATATATATATATATATATATATATATATATATATATATATATATATATATATATATATATATATACACACATACACACATCCTTTAGAATGTGACAATACAGTTTGTTTTTATTTTAAAATAATTAATTGTTTGTAATTAAATCTGTATATATATATATATATATATATATATATATATATATATATATATATATATATCAGTGATGAATCCAGGATTTTTTGGTGTTTGAGCTATCTTCCAGACATGGTGCAAACTCCAAACATTTGTATGTTTATACTTATGTTAAATAATGATGCTTTGCAAAAAAATTGTGATGATTTGAGGTTGGGAACAAAAATGTCTTTTAACTTTATCCCCTTCCCCACCCCAAACGTAACAGCCAACAAGTTAATAAAATATTTTTTGTACTATTCTTAATTCGACTTATATTTATCAGTAAGTTTTAAGTTTCATAGTACTATCTCTCGGCTTTCAAAAATTATATTAAAACTTGTAAATTATGGAGTTAAAACTTGTAACTTGGAGTTTGCTCAATGTCTGGTAGTTAGCTATTATAAACACAAAAAAATCTTAGAACCGATAGATATATATATATATATATATATATACACATACAATTACAGTTTATAAGATTTAGTTTTCTTTAAATTCATTAGATTCAAATCAAAGTTCATCTAAATGGAAAAAAGGTAATTAAACTATCATTTAAATATACTTTTTACTTTTTATATTAAGTTATAATTTTTATTTATTATATGCTATAATATGTAATATTGTATAATAATAAAATTAAATTTAGATTAATATATATATATATATATATATATATATTATTTGGGAATGTTAGAGTAAGATGACATATGTTTTTAAAACCCTTAGTTTTTGAAAAAATATTAATCATGGAAAAGTTATAACTTTTGTGTTTGTTGTATCATGATGATTATCTGTATTAGTTTTCAGTTTGCTTGTAGAAAACATTGTAATGAAAGTTAAAATTTAAAATTTGATATTCAAATAACTTTAAAAACCCAACTTTAATAAATTAAAACTACCCACTACTTTATATAAAAATCACAATATCCCTTAAAAAAGTTTGCCTGTTTTGTACCAATAGTTTGCAATATTCCTAATAGTTATATTTTTTTGAGCATAAAAAAACTTATTGGTTTTTTAAAAGATTGTAAATATACTTTTCTTTAAACTTTTTCTAAATGTTTGTTTGAGTTTTTATAGTAAAAGATATCTTTCCCCATATGTCATTTCACACCGTCTTTCCCTGAATGTAATAGTGGAGTTATGAGTTCTCATTTTTGTGTATTTATTTATTATTTTATAAAATGTCCTTTATTTTTATGACTAAAGTAAAGGTTAAGTTACTGTTTTGTTTTTTTAACACCAGCCTCAATGAGAACGCTGTTACCATGAGTGTGATGGAGATCACGAATTTTTTTGTATATGAAACAAGTGCTCTAACATTATACCGCTAATTTATTTTATTCTTCTCTAATAATTCTAATAAACTCTACATAGATAAATTATGTTTACTATGTAGCAATTTTAGAATTGCTTTCTCAGGTTCTATATTCAGCTGTAATATTTTATTATTTACAATCTACAAGCCGGAGTTGTTAACAAAGCCAAAAGTAGCAAGGCCAAGGGTTTTAAGGTCAAAACCTAGGCCCAGGCCAAGGCCAAGGGTTTTAAGGTCAAGACCTAGACTAAAAGTTTCAAGACCTAAGCAAATATTTTTAAGACCAAAGACTTAAATTTTTACCTTATGTTAAAGCCAATTATTAAAAAAAGCTGTAGGTAACAATTGATGTGACAATAAAACCACATGTAAAAATAAACCAAGGTTATGCGCAGATTTTAATGAAGTCAATAAGAAAATATACTAGTAGATATATATGAAAGCCGAAAACAAAAATACATAAAAATAAAAGAATGAAAACTTTTAATTCTTTAACTTTATGTTTTTTTTTTTTTGAAGGCCAAGGACAAAACAATCAAGACCAAGGCCAATATTTTCAAGGCCAAGGTCTTAATTTTAGCCCTAAGGCAAGGCTGACGCCTAGGACTAACAATTCTGCTACAAGCCATGATAAATGTTTTGATAAAAAAGTTTTTGTGTTGCTTGGTTTTAAAAATGATTTCTTTCATTCAATTAAGACTTTTAGAGATTTCAAACAGTACCTTGTATTAGTTAGTTTAAACAAACTTGAACTTAAATTTTAGTTAGTAAAGAATTTAATCATCTTTATAAGTTATATCGGACTTTAAGAGATGTTAATTTTCAAGAAATAACATTTATTTTTTTATGACAATAAGCTTGTTGTAAATTTAATACATTATAGTAATAGTAGGATTTATGTTTAAGTTATGTGTATTTAAAAGTTATTTCATGATATTCTTTTTCCTTTAATAAAATTAGAACTGATTAGTTTGAGAAGTTACTTACTGAAAACTTTTTTTGTTTTTCTTTCCTTTTAAATTTTAAATTCTGATTTTTTCTTAAAAACTCTTGGCTTTTACTTTTCTATTTTTTATTCTTCCTTTTGCTTTTCTATTTCTTTTTCAAATATTTTTGGTAAGCTATTTTTTTCTGATTTTTTTTTTCACGTTTACAAATTTCTAGTGCTAAGTTTTAAAATGCTATTTTACAAATTTCAAAATAAATTATTAAAAAAATATTTAGATGGTTTTTAATTTTTTTAAAAGTTTTTTTAGAAATTTAGAAATTTTATATGTTTTCAGAAACCTGTAGTACCCAGTATTTTGTAGAATTTGACCCTCAAAGTTAACTTATATTATAATATTAGTTTTAAGTATTCATATAATAACCAACAATATCATATTTGACCTGAGAATCTCTGTGACTTATTAATCATTATGTATTGGTTGCTCTTTTAATAAAGGTGCACTTAGGTTTTTTTTTGCCCTCTCAAAACCCAAACTTTTGTAAACAAAACCTTTGCATGCAGAAACAGCTTCTAGTAGCAATAGTTTTGTTATTTTTATTGTAAATTATTATTAGTTATTGATTGATTATCAATTAATCTTTAGAAATATACGATTCAATAAGTGATAATGTAAAGCAAAAAATAATAATGTTATGCAATAAGTGATAATGTTATGCAACAGTGATAATGTTAATCAACAAGTGATAATGTTAATTAATAAGTGATAATTTTATGCAATAAGTGATAATGTTTTGTAATAAGTGATAATGTTATGAAATAAGTGATACCCGGTGGGAAATGAGCTAGCGACTAGCTAGCTTTATAGCGATTTTCAAGCGATTTTTTTTTCTTATTTTATTTTTTCCTGCTGTCTTTAACATCTTTAAAAATTCGATTTTCAGGGTTCAGTCTATTATAACTATGAAAATAATTGAACTTTAAAAATTGCGATTTTGTAGCAATGTGTCGCTAGCTACATATCTTAGCTTTGTAGCTACAAAATATCTAAAAATCTATAGCTAGTTGATATCTACATATCAAAATTTTTTAGGCAGCAATTTTATTACGATATGACGCTAGCTACAATAGCCTGTGGGTCTTTAGCTTATTAATCTAGCTGTCCTCGTAGCCAAATCGCTGTCTTTTTCTTTACAAATATTAATAGTTTTTCGCTAACTTAAAAAAACTAGCGATTCTCGTGACCTAATCGCTGTTTTTATTTTTACGATTATAGGTAGCAATTCGCTAGCCAATTTCTCACCAGATAATGTTAAACAAAAAAATATTTTGTATAAACATTAATTATAAAATTTAAATATTGGTTATTGAAAAGTTAACAATTATTTTTTACATTTTGTTTCAGAGGTTAGTGGTGCATTAAAAACATTTTATCTTAAAAGTTATGGAGAAACTAACAAAACATACAAATTTATTGAACTCTGTATTGTTGATGCAGCTGAAGTTAAAAAAGATGCTAGTTGTTTTGTTGAGAGAGAACAGTTTTTGAAGAAACAAATGAATTATACACCAATTTCATTTGACAAAGTATTTTCAGAAGAATCTTCATTATTTCTTATATCGGGTATTGCTGGAATAGGTAAAACATGTTTGCTCAGAAAATGTTTGCTAGATTGGTCAAACGGTTTAATTTGGAAAAATGTTGAACTTTTGTTTTATTTTGAATGTAGAAGACTTAATCAATACCAAAATATTTCTAAAATAAATGAGTTAGTTGGTATTTTTTACAAGGATATTTTAAAAAATTTCAATATTAATAGCTGTAACATAATGTTTGTCATAGATGGTTTGGATGAATTTCAATATTTAGATGAATTATTAAATAACAATCCTCAATGTGAAATCCCCATTATAAAGACATTTCTTAATATGCAGAAATACAAGTTGTTAATTGCTGGAAGAATAAATGCAATTTCACAGTATGAAAATATTCTTTCAGAGTGTAATGATAAGTTAACAGTTCAGATTATGGGTTTTAACGAAAATGGAATTAATAATTATATAGAAAAAAATGTAGTTGAACAAACAAACAAAACTTTAAAAAAAATTTTTAATGAGTCTCCTATTGCAAAAGCTATGGCATCTGTACCTTTTTATCTATCTTCTATGTGCACAATTATTGCTGAATCGAATCTTAGAGAAAGTCATTGTTTCAAAACCATGACAGACTTGTATGCTAGTATATTTTTTAACTTTTTAAAAAAACACATTAACAAAAACAATGAACCAGTTTATAAGATGATGGAAAATGAAAGCATTAAGCAATACGTTTTTAACATTTGTAAAATCGCATATCACCTATTCATCGAAAGTAAAATTACTTTTTCTAAAAAGGAAATTCAAAATATTTTTAACAATGTAATTAAAGTTGAAGAACTTCATGGCTTCATAGAAAAAATTGAAACCGATTTAGGTTGTTATTATCAATTTGTACACTTGACAATAATGGAGTTTTGTGCCTCTGTTTATGCATACAATTACTTAAGTGGAAAAATGATCAGCACAAACATTAAGTTGAGAAGCTGTTTACCAATGATCTGTGGATTGTTAAATAAAGATGAAAACAGCTATGTGAAGTTTCTTGCAAACTTAAAACCAGAAAATCATAATATATTTTTAAAATTTTTTTTAAGTTTAACGAATAAAAGCTCAGAAAAGTTATCTTTGATTGATGTTCCTGGTGAGTTTTTTTTTTTTCTTTTTTTTTAACCAATTATTTATTTATTTTTATATTTATTAATTTTTTACTATTCATTTCCCCTAATAAGATTTTAACAAGGTCTGTTAAGATAATGTTTTGTGTTTGCTGGTCGCCACTTGTAAGTGCATGCTGTCCAATTGAAGCAAATATTTTCATGTAAACTTTTTTTTGAATTTTTAATCGGAGTATTTACCAGTGATAATATTTGATTTAAAAACGCTAAATACAAAAAATTTCGAGTTTAGGACAATTTTTAGATCCTCTACAAAACATTAAAAATTAGAATAACGGATTATTTATAACGGAGCGCAACATTTTTTATCCAACTCCTGAAAAAAAATAACTGATTATGAAATGTCTTTTTTATAGACAAAATGCAAATAAGAAGAGAAATATATACTAACTTTTTAGGTGTCTATGTTTATGAAAACAAAATAAAATAAACAATAATAAAACAAAAACTCGATTATAACAACTCATAACTCAAGGTAACAATACTTCAAAAAAGTAAAAATGCAGATGCAGATGAAAACAATTCTCCTAAATTAAGCTTGCCTGAATGGATTTATGAAATTATCAAGAAAGACTGATGAATTAAATAACGACAATTTATTGAAAAAATGTTTTCATGGGCAAACTTGAAATTGTAATAAAGGACTAAATAATACCATCTGGTCCCGATGTCTTTAAAATTGTGTAAAGACAGATGTTCTTGAAATGGGAGTAAACTCAGCAGTTCTTTCTTTTAATGAAGGTTCGTCTGGTGTTTATGGTGTATTTAATTTTAAAAACATTTAAATCTAGACTTTAAATGACTAAAAAATACGGTAACCAGTTTAGTAAAAAAAGACCAAAAGCGGTTACAGAAAATGGTAAAAAAAGGACAATCACAAAAAAAAGAGTTGAGAGGAATTAGGAAAGGTTGGATTGATGAAGATCAAAAATAATTATCCAAAAATATCTACAAAAAAAGGATATTTTTAAAATTTTTTTACTTATTTGTCTTATATCTAAAAATGAAGATTTTAACATATTTTATGAACTCAAAACACGATACCTCAACATTAAAAAAAGCTTAGATCTCCAATTTTTTTTCCAATTTTCAATACATGTATATGTAGAGAATGAACTAGATTCTTGATAATTGAATGAATATTTATCAATTGCTAAGTCTTTTTTGAACCTTACCCCCTAGAAATTAGTCAATTTTCAGTTTTTTGTGACTTAAAAGAAAAATTTTTGTTTTTATATAATGATCTTAGTTCATCCTATCAGAAAATAATATCGTAAAGTACCGAATTATGTTAAATAGGCATCCCGGAATAATCATGTTTTGAAAAATAACAAAAAATATATTTTTTTGTGCGTTTTTTTATCAATAAAGTTTTTTTTTTTTTTAATAAACCTTTTTATTTATCATTATTTTCAATAAATTAAATTTTTAAAACTGATTTTAAAATTGATTTAAGTTATTTTACTAAAAAAAAACAGTTCCTGTGAAGCCACCTTTAAGATTTTTTAATGTTTTTCCACAACTTGAGCAAGTTGTCTCTCTCCACTGGATCAAAACATTTATTTTTTATGTCTCCTATATGCTTGATACCTTGCTCTGCAATATCGTTGACACAAGAAAGATTACATACAAATTTTTTGCAGCATTAAAGTCTTCGAATTTGTTTAATTGCTCTGATAGAACGTTTAGCCATTCTTGGGGTCTGACTAATTTCAACAAATCGAAAAGCAACCATGACTTTTCGCCAATGAAAGACGATAAAAAAGGTTTTTCTTCATTGCGCCAAATAATAATCGGAGGCTTTGGTTTATAAAGAATTAATACTTTAGATCTTGGTTAGTTTATAAGTTTCTGACCATAGTCTTTTTTGCATAAATTACAAGTGCTTTTTGAAAGACACAATGGTTTCTTCAGGTGGAATCCAAGTTTCTTTAATTAATTTGCTTTTTCAATTCTGTTAGCTGATCTTGCCTTATGAAATGATGTTTTAGAAAGTGCAATATTATTTAAAGCTGTATTATTTTCAGTATCTCATATTCTTTTACCAAACGAACTATCTGTTCAGCACAGTCTTACTTAGACTTGTTGGAATACGATCACCAAGTTAACCAAAAGTTATGATAATGATATCGCTAACTAAATGATTTGTAATGAGTTTTTTTTTCTAGGATCATTTTCTCTCTCAAAAAGATATTTTTGCAATATAACTCTATTCAATGGTAGCTTTCCTCTTTTAAAGTTTTCTAAGGAAAAAATAACAATACAATGATTTAAACCAGAAGAATTTTTTAATATTTTTGTTTATAGCAATTGCTGGAATATGTATTGAATCTAATAAATATTTTTTTTCTTGATCTGAGTAGTATCTCTATTGCTTCAATAAATATTTTATTTCCCAAACTTTTGCTAGGTTTACCAACCTTCTTTGGTATGGGAGTCATTGCCGTGGCTTAATACAAGACTGAAGTTTGTAATATAAACACTGTTGGTAACTATGTGTTTAGATATATACTTTACAAAATTAAAAAGATATATAATAAAGTTCATTAAAAATTTTATAATTTAAACTTATTTGCGTTGCGACATGTTTTTAAGAACAATTGTTGCCTCAAGAGAATTAAAAACGTATGACTTAACGAATTCCTCAAATGCAATATCACAAAATTAAATTTATTTATTTGCTTCGGGAAAATTTAGAAGTTGAGACTTGATGACCTCCTTAAATGCAATTTCACAATATTGACAAAACGTTAATAACACTTGCGCAATCTGTTACTAGAACTTCCAATGTTTTGTGGGGGATCTAAAAATTGTTCTAAAATTGAAATTTTTGGTTTTTAGATCAAATGTCATCACTGGTAAAAACCCTGATTGAAAGTTCAAAAATGAGTTTAATCAATTTTTCATCAATAAAAAAACAACCGTATAGTTGTCATTCCTATTAAATTAAAACCATGCTTTAAGTTCAGGGTGTAGCGAAGATATCATTTTAAATTAGTTAAGGGTTCCTTGCGCTACATGATATAGCACAAAGAACTCAAAATTTATTATTTAACCATTTAAAATGATTCTTAACCATTCAAAACGTTTTTTAAAAGTAACCTGTTCAAATATATCTTCCATTTCTAAGGTAGTTTCAGAAGTTATTTTAGATTCTATCAGTATCAATATCTACCAATAGCAACGTCAGAAAAATGAAACCAAAATTTCCAGAGCCTAGTTAACACATGCACTTCAATGTAGCAAGTTAGAACCCTCAAAATAGCTATGAGGGTGATATGAAAAAATGTTTTTAAATTATATATTGATACCATGAAATTTTTTGAAACCCTAAAAAACCAACAATGTAAAACCGACTTTAAAAAAAAAGGCAAATTAAATTGCATACTGTTTGATAGTAGAATGTAGAATTTGATGGTAATTATGTAGAATTTAATGGTAATTAATTATCTGGAAAAAAGTGTCAAAATTAGCTATACTTCGTAAGATATTTAGAAAACAGTTCTTTTCTGCATAATTTAAACGTTTCCCAAATTTGGTATTGTGGTTTATCCTCCTCCGGCTAGTTGCTATATAGAGGCCACATTACCAAGGCCCGCAAAGACAAGTTTGGCTCTTCAAGGAGTGTCACAACCCGCTCTACGGACCAAGAGTAAATTGATTTTGGGAAAAACGAAGATATGTTAGAGTGAAAGATAGAAGTCGTCAAGTTAGAAAGATAGCATAGAGAAAGCAGACAGGGTTGCACACGATGTTAGAAAGTGCAATACGTTAATATACACATAATTGAATTAAGTCAATTATTGTATTAAATCTTAATTCAAACCTTTTTTAATTAAGTTTTATTAAAACTTTTCAAATTACTTTTTTTTTTTCAAACTGTTATTTAAATCTTAATTCAAACCTTTTTTAATTAAGTTTTATTAAAACTTATTAAAAATGCGGTTTATTTTTTGCAAAAAACTTGGCTTATATACATGAAAGTAATTAACAACAATTTTTAACAATAGTATTTTAACGACATTATCTTGAAAACTAATAAACGCCTTTAACTTTTTTTAATGAATTTGCAAACATCTTGTTTATCTTAACGTTTTTTAATTTAAAAAAATTTAAAAAAATTAAAAAAAATGAAGATCGCGAAAGAAAAATTAAACTTTGTATTGAGGACAAATAAGAGAAGCCGCTTTATGCTATAACATTCCTAAAACAACTATTTTTTGCAGATTAAAAGGTATAAAATGGAGCTGCTAGTGTTGGTAAGCCAAGAGCAATAAGCTAAGTAACGGAGAGGCTTATACAGAACTTGTACAGTTTATGAGTGATATTGGTTTCAGCTTAAGAAGAAATGATATTTTAATTGTGGTCAAAAACTATTTGAAGGAATATAAACAAACTCATTTATTCAAGACTGTTAAACCTATTTGAAAGTGGTACAATAGTTTCATGAGAAAATATGTGAAAAACATCTGTGAAAGAAAGGCTACTAGTAAGCAAGCTATAAAAGCGGTCTTCGCTACTGGCAATTATTGATCAATGGTTGAGCCAAGTTGACACTGTTTATCGAGAGCATAATTTAAATGAAATACCGTTTTATGTATTCAACTGTGATAAAGTCAACATTGTTTGTTGAAAGGAAATGAAAAATCCAAAACAACTTGCCATAACAAATGAAAAACAAATGACTACAATTTTAACTTGTTATTATGCTTTTGGAAATTTCCTAGCTCATCAAGTCATTTATAAAGGTCGAAAATTGATGAAAGCTTGGGTTTAAGGTGGTGCTGTAAATTGTAAAGGTTTACTTGGTTAGAAATTCTGGTATTGTGGTTTATCCTCCTCCGGCTAGTTGCCATACAGAGGCCACATTACCAAGGCCTGCAAAGACAGATTCGGGTCCTTAAGGAGCATCATAACCCATTCTACGGGCCAAGAGTAAGGTGAGTTCGGGAAGAACGAAGATATG